ACACATGTGGAAGAAAATGTGGCCTGAAATGTTGTTTTAAACACATCTACCTTCATCTTGGTAATGGTTTTGTGTGGATGTTGTCACAGGTCCCTGCATTTTCGAATCTTCCGCCGTATTTGGGTGGATATTATCAAATGATTCCTGGTATGTACCCTGCACTTGTTCCAGGGTTAACTCTGCCGCAACATGAGGAACATGGGAACCGCGGAGCTGGCATATATGCTGTTCCTGTTAACTCCTTTGATAGACAAGTTACTGGACTTCCATGCAACACCCTGATTCCGCTGACTTACCGCATACCCACGTAAGTGGCAGGTTATTTTGTTAAGATGACGTTGTGAGAGATGTGAAGCTCAGTTATTGCACAATTTATATTTTTTAGTCGGATATTTAAGCATAATTTTCTGCATGGACATTTTTGAAATGAAAGAGTACGTTTTATACCTTTTCATGCTTTGTTTTTCCGTAGAACCTTTGGCAATCTTTAATATTTCTACTGACTTGCATTCTCAACTTGGTCACAGTGATTGGTGATATAGAAGACCAATAATTTCTTTAATTGCTAAATAAAAAACAAAAAATTGTTTAAATGAAATTATTTACAGCAGGGATGAAGTTGTAACTGCTAGCAATATGAGGAATGACTTTGATGTAAAATTGTTATTAAATTTACACTAAGTAGGCAACGAACGCTTGGCATGGATGATTTTTAGAGGTATAACAATGACCGTGCATGAGTTTCCTCTTTGATAACTATTTTTTCTTGATTTAATCTAATCTGTCTTTTACATTTTGTGTGGGGAATCAAAGGTAGATTGATTTAAGGGTTATTGTTATCCATAAAGGTATGGGGATTTTGGTAGCTGGAAGTAAAATTACAGTTAAGGATTTGGGGTTGATATGTTAGGATAACTCTAGCAAGAAACAATTAAGAATTTGATTGGGGTGGATTGTTAAGACAGTGCTATTCTACCAAGAAAATTATCTGTCGGGAATGAAGCAATCAAAGAAAAAAGAATTGTAGCTTATAACAAGAAGAAATCCTCTTCACATCTTGAGCTTGTGTCAGCCTGCCAAGTTATTAACAATTTTCCGCAATCTTATAATCCGGTCAATGAACTGAAAGGAAGCATTGATTTTGAGTCTCATAGGATTTAAACACGATAAGTAGGTTTTGATGCCATGTCCTGGTCCTAAGCCAACTATTGCGTGTGTTGTAAAGACACATGAATGGTTTTTTATTAGAGGGCTCACTTTAAAAACTTCTCAACAAACACTCATAAGAGAAGAAAATAGGAGGTTTGAGGATTCAAATTGCTCCCGTAAGATAAAATCAATATATTCTCCTCCACTTTTTGAGAATTTAGATGATAGGACTCTTTAGAAAAACTGATGTGCATTAAATAATTTTAACACATGGGGAAATTTGATTCCTTGTGTCTTTATTTTTCTACAAATACTTGTAGAAAAGTTTATATAAACAATTACGAGCAACCAGGTTCATCTGAAACTAGAAATACACAGCTTCGAAAAGTTCTAGCAAGCACTCTCATCTTTGGTTGTCCTTCGGACCTCCAAATCTTCCAGAAAATTTGGACCCAACTCTGTATTCTTGACATTTGATAACATGCACAACACTTCTTGGGTATGTACCACATTATAGGAAGCTAATGGCTATACTAGGAGTTACCCTAAAACTACCACTAAGGCTATAGAGAAGCTAAAAGATAAACATTGATATTTTTTTATTCATTATAAGGGGTAAAGAAGAGTACACTTATATGGTAAAAGATATGCCAAAAACTGAATAATGACCGAAACATTCAAGGAAAATTGGACCTGATTCTGATTCACTAGCACCATGAACTAGACTTGCTGTTGGATTTTCTTTTTTGTTCCTGCATCAGTTTTGGATGTCCTGTATAAGTTCAATGTTTTATCTATAGATCTGGTGATTGATGCTATGTTTTTCTTTCATACCAGTTTCATTTAATGTTTGTTTATATTTCAGAAAAAGATAGTAGCAAGTGTAAAATTGACGATAATTCTATTTTAGTTTTATTTGTTTGTTAGCAAATATGTTTATTAATGTTAATTAATGGTTTCTGTAACTGAATGGCCACCATCAGCAGTAGGCCAAGTTCTGAAGCTGTTGCTGCCAGTGAAAATCAGGGGCAAGCGGGACAGCAACCTCAACAGCAGCAGCCTGCACCTCAAAGACAAGTTGTTGTTAGGAGATTTCAAATTGCATTTCAAATTGATTTAATGCTTATGTTGAAGCTGGCAGCTGTGATCTTTTTATTTAACCAAGATGGATCAAGGCAGAGGCTTATTGTCCTTGTGTTCTTTGCTGCTATTGTATATTTGTGAGTACAACTATTATTTATTTTTTTTTTTGCAATTTTTTAAATATTTCTCTGCTTGCAAGTTTTGCTGTACTCATCAAACCCTCGGAATGCTTCTTATATAAATCCTCCAACTCCCCGATCTAACCTTTTTGTTATCCAATTCTTCATATAATATAAGTCTACTAATATTGTTTGGGTTGCGAATGGAAGCTGTAGTATTTATTAATGGACATGTGTGGCAGATACCAAACTGGAGCTTTGACACCAATAATAAGATGGCTTTCACGAGGTATGCAGAGAGCAGCAGCACCTCCTCATCCAGCAAGACCTGCAGCCAGAGCTGAAAATGTTCCTCCACCCAGGCAAGAGGGTGATAATGTTACTCCAGCAGGTATGATTTGAACATTTTATGCATGGGATTTACGTGAGCATTTTTTGGGAATCACTAGTGATATAACTTATGTGATTTATAATATAATTTGGAAGCCTTTACTTCTTGAAAGCTTGCGAGGTTCAGTTTATTTTGTTATTATTTATTCTTTAATTTTCTTTAGGTTAAATTTAATTTTCCGAATACTTGTACTGTTCTTGTATGGAATAAGTATCAATTGAAGTTTTGATCACGCATTGACACATGCTTACCTTTGCCTCTTATCTATTGGAAGAGGGTCAACCTGAAGCCGAGAATGGGAACCAGCCTGCTAATGAAGCAGACCGGGCAGTTGGGAATGAAAATGTTGCAGAAGTTGGAGGAGTAAATGGTGGGAATCAGTGGTGGGGCATTGTAAAGGAGATTCAGATGATTGTCTTTGGATTTATCACTTCCCTTCTCCCTGGGTTCCACAACCATATGGATTGAACTATATTTTGTAGTTAACAAGGTTTGTGAAATTGACAAATATGGTCTGAGAGACCATGCCCTGAAATAAAAATGTATAGCATCAGAAGTTTCCAAGCGTCATAACTAATACATACAAAAATAAGAAAAAAAAAAAAACAGAGGAAGATATGGTGCAACTATAGGCTGCCGTTTTTGTATCATTACTTGGTTTGTTCATAAAACAGCTTCCATAGTAGGGACGTTAGATTTTTTTTTTCTGTACTGTTTTCTATTGCAAGTGCATGGTGATTTTATTTCTTTTCTAACTTTGTATGATATTTCTCAGTGACTAATGCTTTTTCCAATCACTCCAAACTAGACTTTAGTTGAACGTGAATGGAACATGATCTCAAAAAATGAAGATGGAAAATACATTTCCAACTACCACCCTAAAAAGGTGGATTTTTCATCGAGGAACAAAATTCTTCAATAAATTAGAATTACTGATGAATTGTTGATGGTAAAAAAAAATTGATAAAACATTTGTTGAAATTTTGTATTGATAATTAAATTTTTTTTATTAATTATTTAGGATCAAAATTTAATGATAATTATGGTAAATATTTTTTGGTAAGTATTAACTAATAAAATTTGTCAATAATTATGATTCAACAAACATCTAGATTTATAATCTATCAAGAATTATGAGTTGATAAATATCATGATGATAAACATTTTGATTTTTTGCTTTATCTTTATTTTTTTTTTTCATTTTCTTTGTCTTCTCTCCCTCTTCGTCTTCTTACAATGTCTGTTTCACAATGTCATATTTCAATTAATTTTATCACGAATAAATGTGGCACACTAGAACCTTCCAGCACATTGATTTTTCACGCCAAAATGTACTCTAAACAACGTAGTGTAGACTGTGGGTACAACCATGCAATAAACTCGGATGACGAGGCTAACAATATGTTGTGGCAAAGAATGATGGATACTTATAAGGCAGTTTCTTCATCTATCCCATCAAATATATCTCTTCACTCCATCATCTCGTACTAAATCAATTCCAAAAATATTTTCCAGAACAAAAGTGTCAAGTGTCTAAAAAATATAAAAAAGTAATTTTCTATTTTTGAACTACTCATAAAAAAATTGCTTAAAAAGAGTTTTTCTTAACCACAAACGAACATATACCAATTTATAATTATATAAAAACTATTTAAAAATAATCATTTTTAATGAATAATCGGCTATTGTCACGATCAGACCCATTATATGATTGCGTGCCTGACTTTTGTAATATTATTATATAATCAACGCCACGAGATGCACGAATCCTCTAATAGACTGAAGAATACGAAAAATAATTCTGTTGCGTTTAAGATGAAAACATTAACTTACACTTTACAATAGAGGAATTAATTACAGAAATTACATCTTTTATTGTTTCATTATTTTATGTTTTATGTTTAAGATAAAATAATATAATGATTAATTGAGATGGTATGCAGTTACATAAACATTAGATTATCATACTCCTATGTATGGAGATTTTCTTTACACATTTTTTTTAATTTAATCTTTTAAATAATCGTTATTTTAAATTAAAATAATTACACGCCGTAATTGAAATTTAATAATTTAAAAATAAAAATAATAATCTGATCATTTTATCATTCAGGACTCCATAAGAAAGAAAGCTTTCTCCATATTTCTGAGTTGAAACTTACCAAGGAATACAAAATCAGACACATACACTAACAATTCAGGTTTTGTAAGTTATAGCAGTAGAGGTCGAGCTTTCTAAAATTCTGCAACTNTTCAAATTGATTTATTGCTTATGTTGAAGCTGGCAGCTGTGATCTTTTTATTTAACCAAGATGGATCAAGGCAGAGGCTTATTGTCCTTGTGTTCTTTGCTGCTATTGTATATTTGTGAGTACAACTATTATCTTTTTTTTTTTTGCAATTTTTTAAATATTTCTCTGCTTGCAAGTTTTGCTGTACTCATCAAACCCACGAAATGCTTCTTATATAAATCCTCCAACTCCCCGATCTAACCTTTTTGTTATCCAATTCTTCATATAATATAAGTCTACTAATATTGTTTGGGTTGCGAATGGAAGCTGTAGTATTTATTAATGGACATGTGTGGCAGATACCAAACTGGAGCTTTGACACCAATAATAAGATGGCTTTCACGAGGTATGCAGAGAGCAGCAGCACCTCCTCATCCAGCAAGACCTGCAGCCAGAGCTGAAAATGTTCCTCCACCCAGGCAAGAGGGTGATAATGTTACTCCAGCAGGTATGATTTGTACATTTTATGCATGGGATTTACGTGAGCATTTTTTGGGAATCACTAGTGATATAACTTATGTGATTTATAATATAATTTGGAAGCCTTTACTTCTTGAAAGCTTGCGAGGTTCAGTTTATTTTGTTATTATTTATTCTTTAATTTTCTTTAGGTTAAATTTAATTTTCCGAATACTTGTACTGTTCTTGTATGGAATAAGTATCAATTGAAGTTTTGATCACGCATTGACACATGCTTACCTTTGCCTCTTATCTATTGGAAGAGGGTCAACCTGAAGCCGAGAATGGGAACCAGCCTGCTAATGAAGCAGACCGGGCAGTTGGGAATGAAAATGTTGCAGAAGTTGGAGGAGTAAATGGTGGGAATCAGTGGTGGGGCATTGTAAAGGAGATTCAGATGATTGTCTTTGGATTTATCACTTCCCTTCTCCCTGGGTTCCACAACCATATGGATTGAACTATATTTTGTAGTTAACAAGGTTTGTGAAATTGACAAATATGGTCTGAGAGACCATGCCCTGAAATAAAAATGTATAGCATCAGAAGTTTCCAAGCGTCATAACTAATACATACAAAAATAAGAAAAAAAAAAAAACAGAGGAAGATATGGTGCAACTATAGGCTGCCGTTTTTGTATCATTACTTGGTTTGTTCATAAAACAGCTTCCATAGTAGGGACGTTAGATTTTTTTTTTCTGTACTGTTTTCTATTGCAAGTGCATGGTGATTTTATTTCTTTTCTAACTTTGTATGATATTTCTCAGTGACTAATGCTTTTTCCAATCACTCCAAACTAGACTTTAGTTGAACGTGAATGGAACATGATCTCAAAAAATGAAGATGGAAAATACATTTCCAACTACCACCCTAAAAAGGTGGATTTTTCATCGAGGAACAAAATTCTTCAATAAATTAGAATTACTGATGAATTGTTGATGGTAAAAAAAAATTGATAAAACATTTGTTGAAATTTTGTATTGATAATTAAATTTTTTTTATTAATTATTTAGGATCAAAATTTAATGATAATAATGGAAAATATTTATTGGTAAGTATTAACTAATAAAATTTGTCAATAATTATGATTCAACAAACATCTAGATTTATAATCTATCAAGAATTATGAGTTGATAAATATCATGATGATAAACATTTTGATTTTTTGCTTTATCTTTATTTTTTTTTTTCATTTTCTTTGTCTTCTCTCCCTCTTCGTCTTCTTACAATGTCTGTTTCACAATGTCATATTTCAATTAATTTTATCACGAATAAATGTGGCACACTAGAACCTTCCAGCACATTGATTTTTCACGCCAAAATGTACTCTAAACAACGTAGTGTAGACTGTGGGTACAACCATGCAATAAACTCGGATGACGAGGCTAACAATATGTTGTGGCAAAGAATGATGGATACTTATAAGGCAGTTTCTTCATCTATCCCATCAAATATATCTCTTCACTCCATCATCTCGTACTAAATCAATTCCAAAAATATTTTCCAGAACAAAAGTGTCAAGTGTCTAAAAAATATAAAAAAGTAATTTTCTATTTTTGAACTACTCATAAAAAAATTGCTTAAAAAGAGTTTTTCTTAACCACAAACGAACATATACCAATTTATAATTATATAAAAACTATTTAAAAATAATCATTTTTAATGAATAATCGGCTATTGTCACGATCAGACCCATTATATGATTGCGTGCCTGACTTTTGTAATATTATTATATAATCAACGCCACGAGATGCACGAATCCTCTAATAGACTGAAGAATACGAAAAATAATTCTGTTGCGTTTAAGATGAAAACATTAACTTACACTTTACAATAGAGGAATTAATTACAGAAATTACATCTTTTATTGTTTCATTATTTTATGTTTTATGTTTAAGATAAAATAATATAATGATTAATTGAGATGGTATGCAGTTACATAAACATTAGATTATCATACTCCTATGTATGGAGATTTTCTTTACACATTTTTTTTAATTTAATCTTTTAAATAATCGTTATTTTAAATTAAAATAATTACACGCCGTAATTGAAATTTAATAATTTAAAAATAAAAATAATAATCTGATCATTTTATCATTCAGGACTCCATAAGAAAGAAAGCTTTCTCCATATTTCTGAGTTGAAACTTACCAAGGAATACAAAATCAGACACATACACTAACAATTCAGGTTTTGTAAGTTATAGCAGTAGAGGTCGAGCTTTCTAAAATTCTGCAACTGAGTACAACCATTTTCATTTTACAAGGAGTTATTTCAGGCTTAAATGAGCTACCAGTAGAAATGATTCACTAAACTATTTTTTAAATGTTTTTTCAGTATTCTTTTTCTCGGTCTTGTGTTGGAAGTCTAATTCAGAACTATAATTATAACCTATTCAAACGAGTTTTATGTGGATATTTTTATTTTCACCCGTTGAATCCTTATTGTACCATCTCATTAATTTCTACTATCTTCTAATATCTTGGAGAGGAATGCCGAGTAACTATCTGTTTTCAGATTAATATAATTAAAAAATAACACAAAAAGAATAAATAAGTGGTCTATCTTATGTGTGGTATAGGATGATGGGGATTTATTCGTTACTAATATTCAACAAAATATGTCGGTTAGGTTTAGCTTAAGAGTATGCTTGAAATGAACCCATGTATGTTTAGCTTCTTAAATCTAAGTATTATAAATATATCTTTTTTAAATTATCATCAATTTGGCAAGATATTAAGGATATATATGATATTGTTTTTGAAAATAATTTTAGAATAATAGTTGATTTTAGTTGATGTTTACATATTGGAATATTTAGATTAGCTAAAATTTTTATTTTAACATAAGGTTATATTCTATTATCAGTTCACTCTCCACAAGTACTCATTGTAACTTCTTTTTTATGTGTGATTTTTCTTTTTAAATGATTAAAAAAATGAGGATGTGCCTAATTGGTGAATTATACTTGTGTGTTTTCTCTAAAAGTTGCAAAAAGAATTGTACTCTTTTAGTATGGAATGTTTGGTTCACGAGAACTTAATAGTTGGATGATGTGTCACCACCTAAAACTTTGTTTTTTTTGGAAATTATTGTATGATTATTTATCAATTAATTTGAAAGTAAAAAAAAAAAGTAAATTTATGCTTAATGTATTCTTTATGCTAAAACAATGTTAAAATATTTCTCTAATTTACTCTTTCATTGTTCTATTGTTATTTGATTGTGGAAATGGTTGAAGAAAGTTTTTCAAAATTTGAAACGTTCTTATGTAGATTTGATCGTTTAGTTTGTAAAGTTTTCTTATAATCATTTGAACGTCATTACTAGAATTATTTGGAAAATGAGGTGAATATATTAATGGTGCATTTGCTCAAAGTGAATATTAATAATACAACTAGAAATTATCCTTATTTAGCTTATATTGGTATTTTAGAAGAAACCGAGTATAGTTTTTGAAAGAAAAGTTTTCAAAAACTTTGTTCCAGACTCTTAGAAAGAGAAAGTTTCTCTGATAACACTAAATCAATAATTTAAAAAATATAACAATAAAATAATAATCTAAAAATTGTAATCGGAGTAATGTTTTACAATATATTAATATACTAATAATATTATACTAATTTATCAATAACAATTTTTAAATATAATAAATACATATTTCCACTTTTAACATTTAAGATATAACTGTTCAAAAACCAGTGACGAAACCTTTACTTGCCCCCTATAAAATTCATTCTAAACTCTATTTTATTTGAAAAAAATAATAAAAAATGTAGGTAAGTTTACATGGGTCATCTTTTAATCTGAAAAGAAAAGATTTTACACTCAAAATTAACCTTTATACAAGGAATAAGAATATAGACTGGATTTTTTAGGATGCAGGAAGGAAAGACAGTAACAACCAAACCAACCCCCAAAATTGACCAACTCATCCAAACTAGAACAAAATGTGAATATAGCTCGGTATTATGTTTTAACCTTCAAAAAGCAGTTCTAGAATGCAAGAAAGCAGAACATAATCATAAATGCAGGTCTGTTTATTATGAAACCCGAATAAATATATTTACAAATTCATCTCTGCAAAATTTTGGTGGAGTTCAGAAAGAAGCAGAAGAACTTAATTCCGTTGGCCCTAATGAATTGTAATCACATTATTTATATATATAATATATATATATACACGATTCATCTACATCTCTGATAAAAGATTGCTAATTTTCCGAAGCTCTTTGAGAGCTGTCATGGCAGTGACCTGGCCTTTGCGGTCTTGTTGGAAAACAGATTCAATTACCTACACCACAAGGGAAACAAGCATATATGCAATCAGGAGGAGAGACATCAGATTGAGAACCAAATTTCATTCATAAAATGTTTTCATATTGAGAAAAGAAAAGCACTCAAAAAACTGTGCATATCTTACTAAAAACTTGTCATTCAAGTGTGATAAAGGGAAAGAGCTCTCTACCTGAATATGGTCAAGCATAGACTGCCCAATATTCTTCAAAGTGCCCATAACATTCTGGTCGACCGATTCTCCTCTGGAGCTAACAGAACCACCATGGTCATTAGTTGTGGATGAGGTGGCTTGAGGAGCACTATTTTGAGAGCTACCACCAGCTTTCTCAGATATAGCCTCAACAGTATTCCGTCCAAAGGGCCAAAGCCACTGGAACTTATTATGCTTTTTCTCTTTAGGAGGTGTGGCTTTATTTTCAGCATTATTGTTATTGCACCCTGACTTTAGGGGTGGATCATTGGGACTGGTATTTAAAGTTTCATTGCATTCAGAATTTCCTGTATTCCATAATGATGTCTGATAAATGTTGTCAGGAGAATAAGAGATGGGAAGGGGTGAATCATTGCGTTCAGAATTTCGTGTATTGCTGATTGATGTCTGAGAAATGTTCTCAGGAAGATCAGAGATTGGACGGGGTTGATCATTGGGACTGGTATCTGAAGTTTCATTGCATTCAGAATTTCCTGTATTGCAGAACGATGTCTGATAAATGTCCTGAGGAGGATAGGGCATTGGCAATGGCGAACTAATGCCTGATGTTTCATTGCGTTCGTCCAGGGATGAATTAGATGCAACACTAATTTTCCCTGAGATTATTTCATCATCATTGGCCTCATTGGGGGGGCTAGTTGGGTCAGAATATATAGACAAGTCTTCCTCACTGCCAAAAGGTGCACCTGGAGATCTATCATCAGATGAATAATTGTTGTCACCATTGAAGCTACCGTCTTCTTGTACTTGAATTGCATCAGAAGGATTCTCATTCTGGCATATGGTTTCATCTGGCTGCATTTTCTCTGCATCATCATCTGAGCCAAGTGCCTTGCGCAGATCTTGCAACAAATTGCGCCTAATATTTTTGCCACTCTGAAATCTTGACCTAGGAGGGTCAGATTCTGCTCTTCTCAAACTGAATTTCACTTTTTCCGTCCATCCCTTTTTCCGAGTGGGAACCTGTTTTTCTAGACCATCTTGCCTTTGTTCTTCAGCCTTCTGGGCAACTCTCCACTTTTCTTCCCAGTAGCTATCAGGTACCAAACTCAGGGGAGCTTTCGGAGACAGAGATTCAGATGGAAGGGTCACAGATCTACTATACTTCGATTTACTTTGGTAATGGAACCCGATATACAAAAGTGACGAGGTTGAAATATCAACACTTAGAGCAAGAGCCTGCAAAGATCTGGCCTTCTCTAGTAGTTTTTGGATATTAATATCTTCAGGGAAGTTTAATAATCTCTGGAGACACCTTGTAGGGTTTTCAGTTGCAAGCAGTGAAGATCTTAAATGCAGTAACATTGCTACTGCCATGGCTGAGATAAATGCTCCACGGGGTGAACTTAAGATTCTGAACTCACAGTCATCAGAACCTTTTCCATTGCTGTTATTCTCGGATGCAAATATCTCATCCCAAATGATCAAAAGATTGCCAAGTGAAAATTCCCGACCAAATAAAACTCGCAACCATCGAAGAGAAAAGTACTGGGGTTCAACTCCAAGATCAAAAAGATGGCTATGAAGAGATGAATCTACCTGAGACAACAAATAATACAGTGCCCTAGAAGCTTCAATCACAGGAGGAAGGCCACTATGGGACCCGGATATAGGTGAGGAAGAGAAGAAATCAGCCATTGCAACTGAACCAAGAGTCCCGTTCATTAAAGCCTCAAACATACAGTATGCATCATGTTCCATGAATTTCTCAGATAAAACAATGCCCAGTTCACCTTCAGCTCCATAAGCATCACTTAGTAATACAATGGTCTGTATCTCAGGATCAAGTTCATCAAGACT